TTAAGATTAATGGAAACAGACACAAAATTGTGATCACTCAGACCTGTGTGATAGATGGTTGAATTCATTAACATATTCTCAAGACTTTCTGAAACAAAAATGTAGTCAATTCGCGATTGCTTTAAATCGCCGAGTACATTCTGCTGTCTTGTAAAGACGCGCTTATTGGGGTTGAAAAAGCGCCAACAATCAATCAACTTACAGCGATCAACAAAATCACAAAGACCGGACGATCCAACACCAAAGGAAGCCATTCCTTTAGCACGATCACAGAAAGGATTCATCACATCATTAAAATCTCCGCAAATCATACATGATTTCTCACTAGGAATATCAGATTCAAGGCGCTCGAGAAATTTGGGTTTATCATCCTCTGCGTTTGGAGCATAGCAAGATACAATGTTAAAATCAACCGCATCTCGCTCAAAAGAACACATAAGGAACCTTCCATCATTCGACGAAGAAACCAAGGTAACACTTTTTGAAAAATGTTTAGACACTAAAATTGCACAACCACGTCTATGACTACCAGAATCACAAGAGGCGTAAATATCACCATCCCATAGATGTTGATATTGTTTAATAAAAGAGTCATCCCAAAACGTTTCCTGTATACAAAATATTCCTACAGAAAGGGATTGAACAAGTTGAAATACTTTTGTCAGTTTATCTAGGTTTCTAAGTCCGGCAGCGTTCAAAGAGACAAAGAGCATGAATAATGATTTACGGAAAAGGTTATTTAGTAACATGCTTTAAATTAACTGTTGTGCGTTTCTTCACAATTTTGCCGATCACGTGATCAAGCGATTTTCTCTTCGGTGAGAGACTCTTTGTCCGGAAAGAAGAACTCTTTTTAGTCGCAGGCACACGAGACCATTTCAACTCAGAATTATCGGAAATGGACACATCTTTTGATACAGGGATACAGGAATCAGACTTCATTTCAGCATCAGGGGTCATTGAACAAAATGGCTCAAGCAAGGTTATGTTATCATCACAATGCTCTGAAGATTCTTGAAAAGTAACATCATCCGCACTTACTATACTGGACCTATCAGGACTACCTGAATAACTTGCATCAATATCATCATTATTATCTCTGAGGTTTATTCTTAACATTAGTCGCACCAATGGCCCAGATGATAGGAGGGTCGCAAACACAATCCTTCTTGATGGTATCACAGGTGCTACATACTGACTCAGGACAATTTCGTTGAATATGACCTCTTTTATTACAACTACGGCAAATTCTATCAGGACAAGCTGCATTGAGATGACCGGGGGACAGGCAGCTAAAGCATACCTTTTCTTGGTGATCATGACGAACGCTGTAATATTCTACTCCAGATTCAATTTGGAAGCCAACAGAATACGGTAGAGAGGAAACATCTGGTGGAAATCTAACCCTCATAAACCTTGTGCCATCAAAGACATCGGTATTTTCATAGCGACGACGTTTGATAGGACCAAGAAGCTCAACCCGCCATAGCTTTAACTTTGATTCAATTTGTTCATCAGTGATTAGTCCTGACAGGTGCATGAAGGAAACAACTTTTACCTTTGAGGACAGGTGACGAACAAAAATTGGCTGATTATCAATCTTCAATTCTTTATCTACTATAGCTCTTGCAGACTCAATGTCAATCAATGATACTTCATACACATCACCATTTTTAGGGACACAGGACAAAATAGAATCTTCTCCCAGTGCACCTTGAACAGCCGCAATCACTTTACTAGCCGTCATCACTTTGATATTACTGACCGAAATCAAAACAGTTGCATCTTTTGAAAAAATGGCCCGTCCGAATTTTCGGACAATTTTCCTCTTGTCCGATATGACTAGTGTGTCCGAAGTGTCATCTGCCATATTGGCAGAAGACGGGACAAAACACAGTCTCAAAGTCTAAATAAAATATTCAGAACACCAAATATCAAATATAAGTCTTCAACAATAATAAACACAAACGGAAAAACAACACAAAAGGTCTAATGTCTTTGGAAAACTTCGATATTTAACGATTATTGACAGTGAGAACAACAAACGACATCGATTCGGGATCCAGACCACCAACCACAACTTCCTATCTCAAGTAGTGTGGCCCTGGTGCAGCTGCAAAGTTTGGATTTTCAAAAAAGGCAAAATTGGCAAATTTCAACAGGTAGCTACCTGTGGTACCAAAATCCATTTTTGGGTCGAATTTTTTGAGTCTCGGAAATCGATGAAACCCGGTTTTTTGGACTCGGTGCTTCTCTAGCTCTCCCCCAATGTGCATAAAAGTGAATTCTGAGCACTTTTTTTTTTTGCGGAAAAGTGCCAAAAATTCCGGTTTTTCATGGACAAAACTAAAACGCTCAGTGCTTCCAAAGTAAGGCAGATATGGAATCGCCGTTTGTGGCATGGCAAAGCTAAGATTTCAAACTAGTTGCTGTGTAAATTTCAACTTCCTATCTCAAGTGGTGTGGCCCTGGTGAAGCTGCAAAGTTTGGATTTTCAAAAAAGGCAAAATTGGCAAATTTCAACAGGTAGCTACCTGTGGTACCAAAATCCATTTTTGGGTCGAATTTTTTTGGTCTCGGAAATCGATGAAACCCGGTTTTTTTGGACTCGGTGCTTCTCTAGCTCTCCCCCAATGTGCATAAAAGTGAATTCTGAGCACTTTTTTTTTTGCGGAAAAGTGCCAAAAATTCCGGTTTTTCATGGACAAAACTAAAACGCTCAGTGCTTCCAAAGTAAGGCAGATATGGAATCGCCGTTTGTGGCAGTGCAAAGCTAAGATTTCAAACTAGTTGCTGTGTAAATTTCAACTTCCTATCTCAAGTGGTGTGGCCCTGGTGAAGCTGCAAAGTTTGGATTTTCAAAAAAGGCAAAATTGGCAAATTTCAACAGGTAGCTACCTGTGGTACCAAAATCCATTTTTGGGTCGAATTTTTTTGGTCTCGGAAATCGATGAAACCCGGTTTTTTGGACTCGGTGCTTCTCTAGCTCTCCCCCAATGTGCATAAAAATGAATTCTGAGCACTTTTTTTTTTTGCGGAAAAGTGCCAAAAATTCCGGTTTTTCATGGACAAAACTAAAACGCTCAGTGCTTCCAAAGTAAGGCAGATATGGAATCGCCGTTTGTGGCATGGCAAAGCTAAGATTTCAAACTAGTTGCTGTGTAAATTTCAACTTCCTATCTCAAGTGGTGTGGCCCTGGTGAAGCTGCAAAGTTTGGATTTTCAAAAAAGGCAAAATTGGCAAATTTCAACAGGTAGCTACCTGTGGTACCAAAATCCATTTTTGGGTCGAATTTTTTTGGTCTCGGAAATCGATGAAACCCGGTTTTTTGGACTCGGTGCTTCTCTAGCTCTCCCCCAATGTGCATAAAAGTGAATTCTGAGCACTTTTTTTTTTGCG